TCCTATTTTAGAGAAAAAACTTCCTTCCAAATGCCTGAAAAGTTTCTTTTGCTCTCTGATGCCGCTCAAATTCTTGCCAAAAGAGATAAGGAGAAGTGATTCAAGTTACAGGAGGAGTTAAGAAAGACTTGGACCTAAAGCACCGATGACTTTCTGCGACTCTGTCACAGACTCCTGAAATACGCACCACAAGGAGAGGCAAACAGTTAAAAGGGAGGCAAAGAAAACTATTCCTTCCCCTGTTCCCCTTTTCCACAAAGGTAGCAAAGCTTTGGAACGGAGGTCTCCTCTAAATTTGGACTCTTCTCCCTGCAGGAAACACATTAACGTACAGATAGCCCTTGACTTACGACCACAATTGGGACCCAAATTTTGGTTCCTAAGTGAGACATTTGTTACACGAGTTTTGCCCTATTTTAAAACCTTTCTTACCACAGTTCTTAAATGAATCATTGCAGTTACTAAGTTAATAACATGTTTGTTAATTGAATCTGACTTCCCCCATTGACTTTGCTTGCAAAAGATGATGACCTGACCCCACTGCAACTGTCCTAAATATTAATCAGTTGCCAAGTGTCTGAATTTAGGGAGCACGAGAATGCTGCAATGGTTGTGAGTGTGTAAAAACGGTCATAAGACACTTTTTTTCAGTGCTATTGTAACTTTGAACAGTCACTAAACAAACTGTTGTATGTTGAGGACTACTTGTACTTAATAGCTATGCTTGAATCATTGAGGATGGCTATACAATAAAGGAATTGGAGAGTGTGCTCAAGATGATCTGATTTTCCCTTTTCAATACCACTGATAATTGAGGAGCAAAATTAAGCATAACAGATCCCTTCTCATGCTTCCTGTACATTTCCCTCTGTTTGCTCAAAGCTTGTTTTTTTATGATGTCTACATTCAGAGGTTTTCAATCAAAAATTCATTAAGGCTTTGTACTCTGATGATGGTTGTTTTTTTAAAAAAATATTTATTTGTTTGTTTGTTTGTTTGTTTTATTCTTGATGCTTTGGATTGTTAGCCGCCCTGGATCATATGAACATCCTATGTAGATAGCCATACAAATAAAACAAACAAATAAACCAAAATGTCTTATTGTAATCTATTGTGAACAGGAGGAATAAGCAGGATCTTAGATGTACAGTCACCAATCAGTGTGCAAACAATGTGAAATAGCCTAAAAATGACAAAATTTGTCCTGAAGAAAGGAAGAGCTTTAATATATAAAAGCTCTTTGTGATCAGGAAAAAGGATGCCCTAAGTTCTTAGAACCATTTGAGTGAATATCCAGAGACAACCGACTTGCATTCAAATATAAAAAAGCAAAGTAAAAAATTAGTCAATAGGTTAATTATAAGTAATTTCATCTTCTGTTAATGTCTTCCTAAAAAACAAACTGATCTAACTGACTTTTGTTTTCCATACCCAAGTTGTATTATATGTATAACCTAGAGGGGGGAAGAAAGAGAGGAAGGAAGGAAGGAAGGGAGAAAGGGAGGAAAGTAATGTCACTCCAGCAGATGTGGTTGAAACTGGAGCAGGAACATCCCAAAGGAAATGGCAAATGAATAAGTGAGGCTGGAATACTTGAAAATATAAGTGTACCACAATAAAACAGCTGCCTGAGCGATGACATAAAAAGTGAAGAGTAGGCCAAAGAGGGCTAATGTATACCCACATACAAATGATTTTAAGGCAAAATGTAGAAATCAACATTTCTGAGGGAAAGATGTGGCATTAAAAAAGGAGACTTGTTATTGTTACATTACATTATTTTACAAGCAATTTAGGAGATGACAAGCTATTTTAAGGAAGCAATTTAACAGAGACCAGATTTCAATGAAATAAAATAAAAAGGAAAGGTCAGCCTGGCTGCAATTTCATTTTAGGAGGAAATCCCTCTCTTCCATTATTCTGGATAAAATTACTAAAAAAGTTCTAAACTCAGATGCCGGAAGATATGCTATGACTCATAGTCTGTAGAGGTAACTATTAAATGCTAAAGGAAAGAATCACTGACAAAATTAATTACAGCAACACCATTGCCTTGAAATGTTACAAAATGCTTTGTCTTTGCAATAGCTTTTCACTGGTGTTATTGAATCATACGAGCAATTTCCAGAAATCAAAAGTGAAGACTAAATTAAAAAAAAGAAAAAATGAGGAATACACTTCCAGATTTAAAAGACATGCTACATTGAGCACCAACATGTGACTATTTTTTCAAAAACTGAAAATCTTCAGAGGGGCAGTTGGATTAGAGAAATGGGAAAGAAAAGTTCTCTGTAAGTATCTTCTTTCCCATTACTTCCCTTATCATCTATATAGCCAGAACAGGCTCAACTTTCGAACTCCATATAGAAATGAAAAAAAAAAAAAAAAATTAGGATGCAAATAAAGCAGGCAAATGGTAAATGAACTTTATTCCTTATCCCTCCTCTGCTTGTGGGGAATAGACTATAGTTACCTCCAGGGGTGGGATTCAAAATTTTTAGCAAAGGGTTCTCTGCCTGGTTGCTGGGTGGGCTTGGTCATGGTGGGCATGGCCTAATACAGTGGCCCCCAACCTTTTTCGAACCAGGGACCGGTTTCACTATTATTTATTCTTCCACGGACCGATACCTGAGTAACGTGAGACTCCACCGCCATCAGGACAGCTCTTCGTTCGAAGCCGCCCCCCCTTCGACGAAACTAAGGCGCGAGCACCCAAACGCCACTTTCCAACTGAAAAACCGGAAGCACTTTCCAACCAAAAACCCGGAAGCAACCGAAAACCCGGAAGCGCTGTCGAAACAAGATGGCGGCGCCCAAGCTTTGTGGCCTGGTAAAAAATGATCCATGGACTGGTACCGGTCCGGGGACCGGTGGTTGGGGACCCCTGGCCTAATAGGTCTTCTGCACCACGGCGTGGAGGGGAACGCTTTTGTTCTCCCCAGGCTCTGGAGGCTTTTCTCGAGCCTCCAGGAGGGCAAAAATGGTCTCCCCAGGTTCCGGAGGCTCTCTGGAAGCCGGAAACAGGCCCATTTCTACCCTTCCTGAACTTCCGGGAGGCCCATTTTTCACCCTCTCCAAGCCTCCACACACACCCTGCACTTACCTACCTCCAAAATGGGCCACGTGGAGACTCCTGGGAGGGGTGGAGTGTGTGGGGGCAGCCAGGAGTTGGATCTACACAGAATCTTAGCTAGGAGCTCTCCCGAACCCCTGCAAATCCCCAGCAACCCACCCTTGGTTACCTCTTTATGTTGGTCTTTTAAAGATTGAGTAAAGATTATTACAGTTAAATAGATTTTACGTAAAATGTAGTGTGCACCTTAAAGCTTGAAATAAGGTATTCCATTCCATCACAGAATGACCATCTCTACCTCTGGAGATAAGAAGAAAATTGAAAATGAAAGGGCAGCTCCATTTTAAAGAGGGAGCCAGAATTTTGATTTTAGTATCTACTGAAGAAGGAACACAATGTTACTTTAGATTGTTTCTCTATGAACAATTTAGAGTGTTTCCTTGCATTACCAAAATATTGCTGAGGGAATATAAACCTTGTCATTGTTAGATCAGCACATTGATGGTTCAGTGATACTGAACAAGCTATAAAGCACTGGTAGGGATCCTGCTATACTTAATTGCCACAAAATTTATGGCCATGCCATGCGGTATGGTGTTACTGTGTTATTTATTTTAAAACCGACTTTCATAAAGTTTTACTCCTGCTGAGACTCTTAAAAGCAACCAGGGTTTTAAAAGGGTTCTTCATTTTTTTTTATATGCAAAAAAGATAAAGCGCTCATAAAACACTTTTGATGGATTAAGTCTGAAAAGGTTGAAGTCCTAAAAGCTTTTTTTAAAGTTGAACCCTAAAATGATTCATTAAAACAGTGAACTTATTTGAGCTGACTTTGGAATCGAGAGCCATTTAGCAATTTAGAAAAATGTAAAAAATATCATCACAATTTGTCTCTTGAAACTCAAATGTAGCCTGGTATTAATTCATTGTCTGATCTTTCAGTCCTTTCTTTTAATGATCTTATTAGCCAGCATGCACTTGAAGTACAACCACACGGTTAGCAGTTGTCTGAGATTTAGCATAGAGTTGATTCCTTTGACATTTGGCATGTTCCATCTCTTAGTCACCCATTTTTAAAATGTTAATTCCAAATAAAATATCCATTTTGCAGTTGTGGTAAATATCTACTACGCTATATGACCAAGGGAAAAATTATAATGGGAAGATGGGTTTAGAATGGGGAATGCTTACAATAAAATGGAAAACAACACTAACAAAACAAATTAGTTTCCTTGTTGGACAGTTAATTGTAACAAAAAAGTGATGTGAACCATAAATAGAACCACAGTTCTAATAGAATTACTGTTTCATATTGATTTTTAATGAATGTATAATTTGCTTTATAATTTTAGTAGGTTTGGAAATGCTTCAGTGGTGGGATTCAAATTTTTTTACTGCCGGTTCTGTGGGCATGATTTGGTGGGCGTGGCAGGGGAAGGATACTGTAAAATCTTCAGTCAGAGGTGGTATTTGCCGGTTCTCCGAACTACTCAAAATTTCTGCTGAATACCACCTCTAAAATGCTTATATAGTGATGTGGACTTTGCAAAAGACATGTTTAAAACCTCTGTAACATAAATTTGATCTCTTCCAATAATTGACACCATTAAGAGGTTAACAAACATGCCATTCAATGCATCTACTATTGTTACTATGCAGGCAGATACAATGCCTGTATCTATTATACAACTGGCACTTCCATTACTCTTAATGTCAAACAATCAATGAGACTTGACTATATCACCATGAGACATGGAATAATAAATTCCTAAACCTGTAGCTTTATGAATAGCCATCTCTTATGCTTGAAATAAACCCAGAAAAAACATAGCTCCAATAGAAGAGAATATACAGTATATAGTTCAGGGTTGAACTGTGGAGTCTCCTGTTTTATCCCTCCCTCCCTCCCTCCCTCTCCACTCTCCATCTATCTAGAAAGTCCAAAATTCTCAAAAACTGAAAAGGAGCATAAAATATTAATGTAAGTTGAACTGAGTCCACAATAGCAATACTGTAAATCAATAAAATTCTGAAATGCTATAAACTTTTCAAATAATTGTGTTGGTCAACTACATGAAAATCATTTGGTAATAATAAAATAGTACCATTATTAAGGCTAGCCAGAAGACTACCAAACAGTGATAAGTATTTAGCAACCCTGCAAAGGTTATTAAGTAAAACTAATTAAATGTCTATGGAGATTCTCAGTCATCCAGGTCATGGTTGTCCCAAAGGTGCTTTTTCAAGAGGCAACTAAAGAAGTCAGAGCTGAGGAAAATTCTTGGATGAGAAGCGAAATGACTTCAAAGAAAAACCAGAAAGACCAGTTGCCTCTTGAAAAAGCACCTTTGGGACAAAACTAAATGCATGAAGGGCACAGTAGAACTAAACTAAAATGAAGGGCACAGTAGAAAAATCCCCTCCATCTAGACATTCTAATTTTTTTTTAAATGGACCAAGCCACCAAATGTCATCATCAAAAAGCATCTGAAGGAATTGATTCTAGTCAATTCTTGCCATAAAAGAGAATGTTAGTGTCTCAAGGGAGACACTATCCTGGCAATCAGCAATACCTGACTGGCAAGGGAGATCAGAGTCACATAAGCATTGTGTTGCAAGCTCTGTCCCTTTTTTGTGTATGTTGTGATGTTGCACAGATATCTAGGCTGGCTAATATTTGAATGGGAGACTGTCAGAAAATCCCACATAAGCTGATCTCCAGTTTCCAATGGAAAATCAGTAAAGTATATTGACAATATGATTTCATGGTTACTATAACAAAAAAATTGATCTATAAAATTTGGAGGGAAATCAGGTGGCACACATATGGGAATGTAAAATGCATGCAAAGCACAACATGTTTCAATACTTCCCCTTGATAGGAAACCTCCTACTTATACTAAATTAGTGTACTAAGGAGAAGATTAGGTTTAAAATCAGGGAGCTAGGACATGTTGGTTGGGTTCACTTAACATGCTAAGCCATAATGTAATTAGTGTGATGTGTGAAACCAGTCATATTTTTAATCATGTGGTCCCCTCTTTCTGTTTTGATTTTTTTTTTTCATGACAAGAGGAAAAGTACAGAAATAGTTGGTTGTAAGGGACAAACAATGTTGCTTCTCTGGGCCTTCTCGGCTGAAAATATTTTGCATTTGGGGTGGGCAATCATTAAGATGCTTATTTATGTGGAAATTGTGCCTTGTTAAACATCTCCAGATATGCTGAAATATATGTCTGTGGGATTAATATAGGATCTCCAAGATCTTTTGCCCCCCCCCCCGCCTTTTCACTACAAGCTCTCATTTTTTAATCATGCGATGTAACATCCAGGATAACATTTCAGAAGAGGGAAAGATGAGGAAAAGCTTTAGAGCATTAATGACATGATAGTATGGTCCTTTTAGATGAAAAAAATGGGATCTTTGTTTCTTAAACTACCTGCAGGCATTGCTAGAAAAAAAGACTGGTGCTGTTAGTTGAGATAAAACAAAACAGTTCCTACCCCTCAAAGAAAAAACCATGTACTGAATCTGATTCCAGATATGGTGCAGTAAGATAAGAAAAGCCAAAACTGATATGCAGAATGTCAACCCCTGTGAGGAAATAATAAAACATGATTTCACCAATGTCGCCAAAATCATCTGCTCATAACTGTTGAGCCAGGTGAAGAAGACATTCCACTCTCAGTATACATTGAGCCCAGTTTTTAAAGTGCCAGGTGGTTATATAAGCAATATCAAGTAAACTTTGTGCCAGATTAGTCCTTGTAAGAAGCATGTACAAACTAAAATGTTAGGCAACAATAAAGACCCCTGACTTAGAATATCTTATTCAGTCTTTGCCTGTCCCTGTTTGAGCTAAAGAAATTAAAATGCTGGCACAGATTGAGGTGCCAGCAGTGATTAGGGTGAGCTTTCTGAATAGGAGTGAGTTGGCTCAGTAGGGGACATGCCATTGAAAGAGCCTCAAGTTAACTGAAATGACACTTATTGTGGTTTGTTTGGCTGAATCCACTCATCCAAAATGATACCGTGGGCCTTCTGAGCATAAAAAAGGATACCTTCCTCACAAAAAGTCCCTCCTAGCTCTGTTTCTGACCTCAGTAGGATCTGGATTCAGAGCTTTGCAATGACAGGACCCTAACACATTTATATGGCGATTTCATAAGCACCAAAAAGATGTATAATTATATAACAATATACTGTGCTACATTGTAAGCTGTCCAGATTCACTTGGACAGTGAGAAGGGCAGCATATAAATTTAATAAATAAATAAATAAATAAAAGTAAATTAAATACAGCAAAGGGGCTGTACCTGAAAGCAGGCTATTTGGGGCAAAAGCTGCTCTCAGTGTCCCACTCTGAGAAGACCAGATGTCCACCAGCAGCATGGTGGCTAGCCACTTCATCTGCCAAAATACACTGACACAAGCACGTCTTAGGGCCAAGCAAGTAAGTGGCTTTGCTTTCAATACTCTTGGATAGAGGAACAAAACATCTTTGCTTTGGGTAAGAGAATCCTGTTCAGCAACGATAGCAGGCATAGCTGAAGAGGTGTTTTGTTTTGTTTTTAACCAGAGGCTATCCATAGTGGCGACTTTGGTACTCTGCTCTATTCCTGGCTTTGAAATCCTCTGGCATGAAGTGTAAATGCAAACACACATAAGATTAAAGATGTCGCTGCTGGATTATATTTTACCTTAATCTTTATCTGCACTACATAAATGAACTGTTAGTGAATCATTTAAATCAGGGGTGTCCAACCTTGGCAACTTTAAGACTTGTGGACTTCAACTCCCAGAATTCCTCAGCCAGCAAAGCTGGCTGAGGAATTCTGGGAGTTGAAGTCCACAAGTCTTAAAGTTG